TGGCTCAATCACAATATTTGAGACTGAAGACGCTGCTATTTTTCAACTGTGGGCGATTGAGAATGTTATATGATCATGACTTGGCTTGTTAATTTGATTGAATTGGAGATAGGTCAAACTTACATGTTACTCTTTACAATAAAATAACTATACGAAGTTGTTGCACAAACTTTCCCCGACACTGACACTGAAAATTCCGCTGAAATTTATGAGATAAAGTCGAAGATTCGAGAATTAAAATCGGGATGTTGGACTATTACGAAATACTATACTACTTTCAAGGGTTTTGGCAAGAATTAGACTCGTGTTGCAATGTTTAATTGAAATGTCATCAATAGTACGATTTATATAAAAGATGCTTGAAATGGACAAAATATTCAAGTTCTTGCAGGACTTAATTCATAACTTGATGAAGCTCGGAGAATTCTTGTATTGAAAAATCATGACGGGCACCTGACGTGCATTGCACATCCACCAATAAAAAACTTGGTACCAGACGAGCATAATTTCTGATACTCTGATTTTTCAAATTAATTTTCAATAATCTAACTTTTCAGTTGAGAAAATTAAAGAAGGGTTATGCCTAATTTTCTCTTTGAATCAGAAAGCCGACGTGACTTATTGGTCTATTAACAAACGGGTTAAATTCATCTATGGTCACTGTACTTTATATTTAGTGTCATCATGACCACCTAAATTGATTTTAATTCACAATGACCACTGTACTTTATAATTAGTGTCACCATGATTACCCAAATTACTTTTAATTTATCATTACCACTCAAATTTATATAACGTTTCAGTCAAACCACCCGATTATTATCAAAACAAAAAACACACACACTAAAAAAATCCACATATAATTATTACCACAACGAATAAAAGTTGAGAATCAGAAACAAATATTAAAAAACACACAACGTAGTAATCATTATAAAAACTTTTAAAAAAAATTTATATGAAAGCATAAATATATTTTTTTTCTGCTAACACACAAAATATAAAACTAATCACACACACACACACAAAATTCACTTACCCAAATCAGGAAAAAAAATATATAACCCTTATTTGATTCTCATTTTTCCAAAATATATTTTTCTCTCTTCTTTTCAATATTCTTCAATAAAATAATATTATATGCAAATCCAAAACTTTTCTTTATTTTAACTACACATTTTTTCATCAATCTATTATTTCAAAATACATTATTAACCTTTTAATGGGGCTCAAACACACCCATAATATAAATCAAACTCAAATCAAGAAAAAAATTTATTGCGTAAAAAAAAATAAAAAAAATCCACTAACCCAAATTAAAAAATTATATAATATAAATCAAACCCAAATCAAGAAAAAAAATCTACTTTCATATAATTTTTTATTTTAAGTTTTTGTAACTATTACTATATTTTGTGTGTGTTTTATTTTATTTTAGCTTCTAATTCGCATTTTTCTTTTTATTTTGTTGTAATAATAAACGTGTGAATTTTTTTAATGTGTGTGTGTGTGTGTTTTTTTTTTTTTGTAATAATAACCAGATGGTTTGACTAAAATATTATATGAAGTTGGGTAGTCATGGTAAATTAAAATCATTTTGGATGGTCATGTTAACACTAAAATATAAAATACAGTGCCAATGGGGAATCAAAATTAATTTGGTTTACCATGCTAACACTAGGTATAAAGAATGTTGGTCATGGGTGGATTTAACCCAATAACAAACAAATTAATAGGATTGACACCAATGATCTAGGTCTTGCATTTTAGCCAGAATCGAATTTTCCATATTGAAATCGAATCGGAATCAGAGGTTCCGATCTGGTTCCCATAAAAATAAATTAGGAATCAAAATCAAGAATTGTTAATCGACTGGGTTCGGTTCGATTCTTGGTTCCTGAACCAGAACCGTTGATACCGTGTGGAATTGATTTTTCTATTATTTTTTATTTACAATTTATAGGTTGGATAAAAAATATATATATAGAACTTAAAAATCCTAGTTTGGATAATAATTAATCTAAAACTCTAGACTCCAACCCTAAGAAATCAAGGATACCTACTTTTTTTTTACATCTAGCTTACATTAGATTGTAGTATTTCAAAGATTATTACATATTAATCTTTACAATCTAGACTTTTTATGAATTAAAAAGTTCAAGCTAGATGTGATGTAAATTGATTAATCAAAGCGTTCACTTTTTGCAATTTGAGTTTTTTACTTTCTTGCATTGTTTACAAATTTAAGTGATTTTTTTATTTTTTTTCATAATGCACGGCAATTTAACTTGCTATATCATTGCTTGGGCCGTGGTATACCTTTTGTGTTATTTTGAGTTCATGGTTCTCTTTTTAAATATAATTTTTCATTTTTTATTCAAATAGAGGGAGTCCAATATGTGGATCGTAATTTTTTGATACTATGTAATTATGTATCTAATTAGTATTTTTTTTTTTTTTATGTTAGTTCGTTTTAGGAGTAGACAAACTTAGGCATTGTCTATAATTAAATTATATGCTCTAGTGTGCCTCGCTTATGGATCGACTAAGATTTATTAAGAAAAATATATTTTTTCTCAAATTATAATTTAATTTTTGATATTTTAATTTCCTCCTATTTTCGGGGTTTTTATCATCCACAGTTTAGTTTTTTGAAGATTTCTTAGCAGAATTTTCTTCATTGCACAAATATTTTCGAGTAGTAGCGTATTAGGTATATCTATAATATAGTAAATATCGCATCAAGTGAGAATCATTTTCTGGACGATTTTAATCATACTACAATTTAATTATTTCAATAGTACCTTATTTTTCGTTTTTCAATATATATTTAATTGAATATTAATTATTAAATATGCACACAAATAAATAATTGAATTGGATGAGAACAATCAAATTGATTCAAGAATATGGAATTTAATTATTTTGAATCAATGAATATAAAAAAGAATAATGTAAATACATTTAAACAAAGGGGGTGTAAGTGAAGTGAACCAACACGAAATTTAATTAATTTGAATTAATAGATATAGCAAGATTTAAACAAAGTGGGTGTACATGAACCAACATGGAATTTAATTANCTCCCAAAACATGTGTACATGAACTTGATGACATAATGTTATATTTAATATATTGATAAGCATATTTTTGCATACTTATTTTACTGTCAAAACATGAACAATTATTGATTAAAATGTTGGAATATAGTTCAATTCTATGTAATTCATGTTTTGCAGAATAAAGTGATGAATGTAGCGAAATTGAGGTGAACCAGCGAAAAGGGTCCAAAAATGAGGAAAACAGAACTTCAAGGACCAATGTGCAAATACTCTAAACTTGTTTCTAACCTTGTGATGAAAATTCGAAAGTTTTAGAGGTCAATTGGATGAAGAAATGAGTCAAAAGGGATGAAATATAGCCAACACATTATCTCATATCAACTTTCAAGCTGAAAAGTTTTGCATCGATTTTCAACCTCATATTGAGACCAGTTTATGACATGGAAAACGATCGAATTTGAAGATGGTGTCTGAATCAAAGTTGTAGCTCTTTGAGGTAGCTTTCCAACGCATTCTGAATCGCCTCAATCGGATATTGGTAGAGGAAGTTATGATAAAAATACTGAAAATGACGCAAAATTCAAAACATCAACGTAGCGCCCAGGCACCGTTTTGCCCCAGGAAAAACAGTTTTTCAGCGCCTAGGCGCCGCGTCGCGCAAAGTAGGGTTTTGTTTTATGTTTGGGCAACGAGAAGCCTAGAAAAAGATCTCAAAAACATTTTATTCATCATCATTCTACACAATTCTTTGATGGATTTTGGCTTAAGAAACACATGAGAAATTAAAGATCTTGGTGAAGCAACGAAAGAATTCGGTTGGAATTGGTGAATTCATGTCTTTTATTCAATTATTTTGATCTTTTCATTGTCAAACAATGCTAGAATTTGAATTTATATTGAATTTGGTTCAATATTGACTGGATTTTTCATAGATTCAGTCATACTTTTTCCATTGTTGAATCAAACTATTTATTGAGTTTTGTTTAACTTTTATTATATTAATCATAGATTCAGTCATGCTTTTTTTATTGACGAATTGAATTAATTGTTGAATTTAAATCTTGATTTCACTTTATTGGCGGATTGATTACTGCTTTATGATTTAGTATATGGTTGATCTTTAATCTTGTTCTAATAAAATTGTGTACACATGTTATAAATCTAGATTTTAACATTATATTTGTAAAGTAAATTGGTTTTCACGATAAATCTTTTGATCAGAATGTCGGGATGAAAGCCTCTAATTGAGTTATAAAACTGATTAATTGATGTGAATGATCCAATCCAATCGAGGGAATTCCGAAACTTCACTATTTTAAATTATTAATTTTTAACTTCATTTTTTGTTCACAATTGAATTCAACTACACTTTTGAGAGAACAAACCAACCATTTTTTATCCCTTGAACATTTTTCCATCTTCTCGTGGATACGACACCCCAAAACTACACTACAACTACCGCGTTATACTTTGGGCGTAATCATATATCCATAAATAAATGTTAATTATTATACATGCACATATATAAATAATTGAATTGTAGTATTTTTAGAATAATTGAATAGCCCCCAAAATATATAAAGTGTACATGCATGGACTTGAATAATTAATTTATTGAATTATAGTAGGATATATATAAATTAATGTTAGTTATTATCATATACGTAAATAAATAATTGAATTGTATAAAAAGTTTTATATTCACTGATTTTCAAATATCAATTTTATACCGTTTATAAAGTATTTCAAAATAACATGCAACGCACGTTTAACGGTAACTAGTGTACTAAAATGACTTATATGAAAGTGTTTATTAAATACTAGTTGGCGACTCGTGTGTTGCACGAGGTTTGTATTTATTGTGTTTTTATTAGCGTGGAAATGAAAGTAACAGGAAGAGTAAATGATATTTAAAGAAAACATATGTGCAAAACAATTTTTAAAAAATATATATATTATACAAACCTGTAGACTTAAAATAATGCCTAGTTCGGGTTAGTCGAGTTGAAGATGTACATACTGCAAAAAAAAAAAAAAAAATGTTATTATTTATTGTGTTTTTATTAGCGTGGAAATGAGAGTAACCGGAAGAGTAAATGATATTTAAAGAAAACATACATGCAAAACAATTTTTTAAAAAAATATATATTATACAAACCTGTAGACTTAAAATAATGCCTAGTTCGGCTTAGTCGAGTTGAAGATGTACATACTGCAAAAAAAAAAAAAAAATGTTATGTTAACAATTTATCCAAAAAATTTAATAATAATAAGTTGTACGTGAAAATCGTACCTATAACCTTTTTATTCTCTTTTGATGCTTGTAATTTTGTAGATCTTTTTAAACGAGCATGTTTATTCCTAAACGAATTATAGATTTGCACTTCAGAAGCTGAACCATACAACAATAATTCAGATATTATCTCCGTGATTCTAGATTTGCTCGGAGTTGTATCCCCTTGATCATATATAAATTCCAGAATTTGCAATTGTGTAGATGTAGGCGTCCAACGTTGTTTGCCCATCGTTTTATAAAAAGAAACTTCCTAATCAACCAAAAAAAAAATTGCAGAGGCTTCATTAAATTAAACACAAAAAACCATAAACATAAACTCTCCTTGCACATGGCCAAACTGAAGGAAAGATACATTTATTTTTTTCATATACCAATTTTTCTTCAACAGATTTACAAAACATTTCAGACTTCAGTGACTTTTAGAAGATCCATTTAGATTCAGTTGGAACGGACATATCCATTTAGTGCAGAAAAGAGGAATATCTAACAAGTAATCCACATAGATTTACAATCCCAATAGTGATGTATAAATACAAGACTGAAGAAATAATTAAGAAGCCCGAATACACAAAAAAAATGGAATGGAAGAAAAATACCCACTAACCATAATAAAATGAAGAAATTAGAAATTGGAATGACAATAATCCATGGTACCCAATTAAATTAACATCATCTATATTTAAAATACAAAGGAAGCAAAGAATCCTGCATGTTCAAAATTTGGTATCATTTGAAGAAGATAAGAGAAAGAATATACATACCTTAGGATGTCTATTTGAAAACTTCCACACACAAATGTAATTTATCTTGCACTTTTCTATCAGCTCTTACAACGCAGAAGGCGTATTTTTGATTTAAAGTAATTTCTTATGAGCAACAAAGATATGAAAATCTTAGTAGTCAGTAGTGTTTTTGTAAGCTCAAGGAAAATATTTTTTGCACTGATAGTCGGTAGAGAATTGAGGTAGGGAATTTGGATTTGATGTTCTGGACAAAACGTGTAGGAAAAGTTTTTGATTTTTGCCTTTTGGCTTCCTTAAGAATAGGGATGGAAAGTCAACAATTGTGGGTAATTAGATATTTAGAGGCAATATGATAGAAATGGGGAAAAAAGGTGAAGGTTGGAGTGATTTATTATTAACGTTATTGTATTATTGTTTTTTATTGTGAATATTATGTACTTTACATTTTGTTCACAAATGTATAGTGATTATTAATTACTATTGTTGAATGGAATAAATGGTGGACGTTGGAGTGATTTATTATTAACTTTATTATATTATTATTGTTGTTTTTATTGTGAATATTATGAACTTTAAATTTTGTTGACAAATGTGTAGTGATTATTAATTACTAAGAAATATATATATATATTTTTAATTGTAAATGTAAAAAAAAAAGCTGAACACTCTGTGAGTGCACGGGAGATGAAGGTTAGAATGACTTATTTAAAGGCAATATAGTATAATTGAAAAACAAAATTGTACAGGTCGCGGGGGTCGAGGGGGCAGCGCGCACTGTTTGCCCCCAAAAAGAAAATCAAAGATTATGTATGTATCGCATTGAATGTTTTCTAATTTTTTTGAGTTAAATTATTAATGAATGAAATTGTATATATAATTTGAGTAATGTAAATAATAAATGTGGTAGTTTGAATTTTGGAATTTTTTTAATTGGAAGTTTGAATTTTAAAAAAAAAACGTCACTTCTCCCCGTGCCACACGGGGAGTTTAAAAAAAAAAAAGCATTTATTTTTGGAAATAGATCTAAACACTGTTTTGAGTTAAATTATTAATAAAAGAAATTCTATTTATAATTTGAGTAAAATGTAAATAATAAATGTGGGTAGGTTGAATTTTGGAATTTTGTTTTTAATTGGAAGTTGGAAGATTTCCAAAAAAAAAAAGTCTCCCCGTGCACGAATGGAACTCCCCGTGCGTGCACGGGGAAAAGCTTAAAAAAAAAAGGGGGCTCCATATAAAAAAAAAGGCATTTATTTTTGGAAATGGATCTAAACACTGTGCATTACAACATGAATGTGTCAACATTAAAAAATATTTAACCAGTCAACAATTGTGGTGCTACACATTAAAAAAAAGATACAAAAATGGAAATGCTCTAAACACTGTGCGGATCAACAGTAGAATCTCATCCTCCTTTTTATATGTAGAAAGATATATAAAACATGTTATGGGAATACTCAAAATCAAATCGAAACAGATGGTTCGAGTTTGACTTTGATTCCAATATTTACAAAGATCTAAGTGATTCTATTTACGAAATACCCAAACTATAATGAGTGGTTTTGAGTATTGAAATATTTGGATCGATCCACCGACATCCAATCCTAAACAATCCTATCACGCGGGATCAGGTCAATAATTGCTAGTTTGTCCACATTTGAGCAATCTCAAATTTTTAGACTGTGGGCCGTAAACAAGGCAGAGTGCTTTGTCCCTATTCGACAATCATTAAAATGAAAAGAATATGAATTTTGGAATAACGATTTTATTGAGAATGTATGGTTAAAAAAAAAATTGAATTTACATGTAATATTATTTTATTAAAAAATACGTAATTGAAATGAGATTAAATTACTATTCAAAAATATATTTTGATAGAAAAGAGAATCAAACGTTGGCTAAATATTTAAGGGCATAGTCGGTGCAAGAGGGAGACAAAAGGCATGTAGTAGTAATTAAGGAAGGTAGATTACAAGGTGTAAGAAATGTTCTTGATACGTTGTTTTCCAACCCCACCCACCCCACACCCAAACCTTGTAGGAAACTGTGCATGGCCAAACTCCAAGAAATAATAAAATGGAATAGTCAAGGCAGAAAGATGTCATTTTAGAGAGAGAGAAAGAGAGAGAGAGAGAGGAATAGTTGATTAGAAAGGCAATTATGTTACCCTAAAAGTCGATATAGGGTCTCATAAAATTTTATCATTGAACCTTTTCAAATACAGTCAACCTTTTCATCTAATGATCTGTTGCCACATGTACTTCTGTCATTGTATCTGTCAAAATCCTTCAGCAAGGTGACATAATCCTTTGGAAAGATTACATTCTTAGAGAGAAGGGATTTTTTTTGGGGTGTGGGGTGAAGGTCATAGTGTTGGCACTGTCCAATAAATATAGAGGGGGGCACTTAGCATATAATTGAAGAGGGATGTGTGTGTATATATTGTAGAGGGAAGTGTGTCTCTGTGCAGATGGGTCAGAGGGACAACCCGAAATAAATGCTACTTTTCGTTTTCGTAAGGCGTGCGTCTGTCGGGATATCCCCTTACCTTTAAAACTGCCCCTTTCAATTCATGTCACACACAATACACGCACTATTTCCTCTCAATTCACACCCAATTATTCAACCAAACTTTCAAACCCTACTATTGTCTTTTTATCTTCCTTGCAATAACTATTCACATGATTTCTGACCTTTCCTTCGACCTTCACCCAAAACGGGTATATGCCTGACCACACCAATGTGGTAGTCAATGTTTTGGTTTATTTTATATAAAATTAGCACAATTAATCTATTATTCATAATGAACATGAGATATAATGTCCTCCGCTGATGTGGCAACGTGACGTGACATCAACGATAGACATTATAACCTTTTACTTATCGTGGACATAATATTAGTTCTAACAAAATTAGATGGGTAAAACAATGTGTCTCGACTCGATAAAAAAAATTCTTAAGTTTGAGTTAATCGTTTAAAAAAATTAAATTTCTGTTGGCGTCACGAGAATCTCACTAAGTTTCAACGTGCTCGAGAAATACTACTGAAATTTATCAACATGTTATCCCTTCATCACTCGTTAAGATTTCGTTAGTTGACTTTGATGGAGTTGTCTACATGTTAATGAATTCCATACATAGCACAAATTGCCATTTAATTCTCCGAGCCAATTATGGATTCGGAGCAATTTGACAAAATTCATTATTCTTTTAACAATATTTTAAAGTTCAGTGTGGTTTTCGTGTTGCGATCCAAATTAGGTTTTTTTTTTTTTTTGGAAATATTTAACCCATTTTCTTGATTAAATTTTTAAAAAAATGATTTACGTCTAATTTTTTTTATTCAGAAGACTTTATTATTTATTTTAAGTATCTTTAACGAATATTTTATTATTTTTGAATTATTTAAAATTCAATATTAAGTATAATGTCATGAAAATAGGTCAACTGGTCAAGATTGAGAGCTGTGCACAAGATTGAGGTTGCAATGGCCTCCTTTTTTTAGTATAGATAAAAATATATTGTCGGTGATTCGTAAGTAATTAATAACGAGAAATATCGTTAGTAATTATTACTATGCTTCTGTACGCAATTATATGAAACAATATTGTCGGTGATATCATCGACAATAACCAACGGTCTTTTGGTCTCTATTTGCTTTTATTTTTTGAATACTTCTTCGATGGTTATTGTTCCAATATAAGTAAGCTTTGGATCGTGTCATGAAAACCTCAGTAAACCTTAAAATATTGTTGTAACATTATTGTTTAAAATACTCTCAATTAATCATTAATTAGTTGGGTGAATTGGACAGATTTTTGCCGTATGCGAATTCCGTCCGCCACGTAGTAGATAGCACAAGTCAATGAATGAAATCCAAAGAGCGATGGGTGGAGAGCATTTTCCAGAAAGTTCAAAATAAAGGATTATATTATGCATAAAGGATTGAAAAGACCCAGAGTACTGAGTCCAAAATAAATATGCTCAAATATTACCTGAATGGGTATATGATATTCGAATTCTTCATAATTTGTCATTTTTGTAATGTTATTTAAAATTTGTACATATAACAAATTGTTCGTGTATAATTTTAACTCAGCCTACACTAAAAGTAGTTGATTCCAAACCCGATAAATTGAGGAAGGCTTTTAAAAATATCAAAAAATAATGATAAAGATATAAAGGGTGCCCGTGTACTCAACTCGGTTTGGATCATGAGACCATGAGATTTGGCCTGAGACAAGCAAGTATTTTGGGCATGGGGCCTAGTTTGAGATCGACTCGTGCCGAAACGAGCTTCAGCTCGGCTCGTCCAAGAGCTTGTCGTTGAAAAGGTCGTATCGAGCCATTACCACCCCTAGGTATTGAGGGGAAACACAAAAACAAATGTATTTTGATTTTGGATTATTCTTGTTGTACATTGTGGTGTACATAAGGGTGTCCATAATGGACACCCGGCACCCCCTATTGGATGGGATGCCGGCCCCACTGGTACTCCATCCAATAAGGAGATGTAATTGACACCCTTATGTACACTCTGATATACTTGTAGCAAAACCCTTTGATTTTATAAGTGGATAATGTAACATCTCAATGTCTCAAAGTATTAATCATCTTACTAACTTTTAGGTGCTTATGGAGTTTACATCCAAACTCCGAACTTTAGAACTTGATATAGAAACTTTATATTTAGATAGATTTGGCCACTGTCATTAAAAAAAAAAAAAACATTTACACTGCAAAGAGTAGCTGTTTTCTAGCGTTGCAACATATGATAGCAACATTTGTCATTTGAAAATCAGTAATGATCTATTGAGCGCCGGTGCTCATTTTATGTTAAGTATCGGTGACGTTGTCATATAAATTTATCGGTGGATTTTAAAATTAATTCAAATGTTAAACTCACTAATAAATTTATATGACACGTCATCTGTGTTTAACATAAGATAAGTACCGATATTTGATAGATAATTCCCGATTCAAAAAATAGTACATATTAAAAATCTCACTTTCCAAATTGTTATAAAAAATAATTCCGTGTTCACGAAATCGGGTGTTGCAACATGTTCACAAAATAGTTAATCTGTTGCAACATGAAATAGTTTTCTAAAATAGAATGATGGAAGTAATGTAACAGCTTGTTGATGTTGAAACATTACCTTTTATTTTGAATTACCAGTGAAGGAATCTTTCTAACTGAATAAATCTCTCTGGCAAAATGCAATTCGTTGAAGGAATAAAAATAAGAGAAAGATGTCAAGATCCTACGAATTGGAATGGTACAATACAGTGAATGAAATGTCTAATGTTTATTAAGACAACATGCCGCAACATGAGAGACATGTTGCGATACCAAAAAAATAGAATCTTAATTTATTACTATGCTGAAATACCTTCAGTTAAATTTTCGTTGCCCCTTTCACAAAATATTTTTACCATTTTCAACCGACATTATCCACATTGATTATGTACTCGTAAGATTTAGCCCGTCTGGTTCAGTGGATTTTTTCAATTAAAAAAAATTTGAACTTAGAATATGAAAGTTTGAGCAGGGTTAAATTATACCTATCAAACAACTAAAGATGTTGAAAATGGAAAAAAAAATTTCAACTTCCAAGAAAAATAAAGGCTATCAAACAGGGCCTAAATATGCTCGGAGATTATATATTTGTTAATATTGTTTTTTTTGATCCATAGATAGATCTTAAATATACGTTTGACGATTTGGCATAATAGTCATTTTAACACAAATTATATGAAACAATTAATTGAATAAACACGATGAATGCTTTGATATTTTTGAAAATAAAACTTTATTTACTATTAAGTCATTCTTTGTTAGTGCCTCGATAGAATGCATTATAGACAATCGTAATTACAAGATCTATATCGGACAATATTAGGCCACATCATGTAAAGACGATTGGATTATTAATTTAGACTGTTTTAAAGTATGAACTAGTAAAATATCGAAAGAAGTAAAAATGACAAGAATATTAGAATATGCACCACAAAACAATGAGACAATAATCTAAATCTAAAACCCCAATCACCTAACCCTAGTCGAAAAAAAGGTGAAAATGCAATGAATGAGGAGTGACAAGGATATTTGTGTCATTTCATCAAAAAATTGTCGCCCTCTAACTATAGTTAAAAGAGTAACTATATTTTTATTATCTAGACTACATTTTAATTGTAATAAAGTTTCTTAATTTTACCTCGTTTTCGCACTTGTGTCCCCCATTTATTCTCATTGCTTTCTTATTATTAACATTCAATTAAATTAGCACAGTCTATCTCTGATGACGATTTTGGTCAAAATATATGAATGATAAAATACGAGATACCAATAAGTCTTTTTATATCTTTCTATTGAAAGAAAATCATCACTGGAGACGAGATGTCCAAATTAATACTAGATTGATGATAAAATTATGTAGAAAAGAAATTGAGAACATAAATTAAATTATTATGTCAGTTATAAAAAAAATGATATGAATATAGTTACCCTAATTAAAATCCTATCATAGCCTCAGATTGAGGTCATAAGAGTCCACCCGGCTGAAAGCGTCGGTGACTCAGTCAACCTCGTGCGTTAACTCAGTACACATGGCACTTTCCTTCTTATGCACGCACTCCAACAAAGAGAAAATGACATTTATTTTTCCGCCGGAAAAAAGGATAAAAATATTTGAACATTGTCTCGGATTTGATATGTATATATAGAGCTATATACATATTTTTAGAGAGAGAGAGAGAGAGAGCAGTGGGCAATGGGGGACTCCAGCGATTCTGTTTCCGTAGTTATGGAGTCCAGTTCTCTAGCCGGAAAGGTGAAATATTACCCACATTATTCATAGATAGATATTGTTTGTGTTTATATTTGTTTCAAGAGGTTAGCTACATTTGGGTGTATGATTATATTTTGGATTGGAAACCTGTGCGCCTTTTGAAATTCTGGAGCTTTTATCTTTTTAATTCAATGAGTTCATTTTGGTTTGATTATATTTGCATCTACTTGTAGATTGATATTCGAATTCGATCACTTTGTT